ATCAGTGAAACGAATCTAAGCAACGATTGGGGACCAAAACCGTCAAGGAACTTCTGGAAGCTTTCTCAGTGAAGATCAGAGCTGGTAGTGGAGAATCGAACACGAATTAGATTCTTCGGACTCTTTGATCTTAAGACAGAGTCAAACAGGATAAATTCAGTGCGACGGTGAAATGACCAACGGTGTTAGCGACAGCCATTGGAATAATAAGCCAAAAGATATCAAAAATTGGTATTCGAATCCACAAATCTCTCATCAAGAGAGGATTGTCACACATCCAATGTGCATGTCGTCGAGCTCGCAGTGGCTGGCTATGGAGCTTGACGGTGGCGGACAGTGGTCGAACAGTGAATTCAAGGCGACGGAGAAGGAAATCTAGAGGAAAAATTGGTTCCTCCACCTAGGGTATTCTCTCGTGGGCATATTCGTGGACTTTCCATCATGGGCTTTACAATTTGGACAGGGACCGAATTATTAATTTTCGTATATTTTCATTTGGTTTCATTTATTCATACATTTAATAAAAGCTACCTAAATGGCCGATTTTGCTTGAAATGTGAATAAAAATAAGGTGTCTAACAACCATCATAAAATGAGTCCCTAAAATTTTGATGACAAATTCCTTCAAGCCTAAAAAATTCAGGATTTACTAATCTTACAAGCTTTTTCAAGTGCTAGATCAGGTAAGCATCGCATCATTTATTCTTCAGCTTCTTCAAGTGGGTTAGATCAGGTAAGCTTCGTAACGGATTGCACCATCCGATCGAAAGAGTTTCTAGTGATTCCAGTTTGTCAAGACCTTCAATCTCAACTAGTTTCGGACAGTTCTGTAGTGTAAAGTCCTTGAGGTTTTTCAAGTTGGATAAGTCGAGCAATGTCTGAAGGGAGCCACAGTCCTCGAAGTGCAATAGTCGTAGATTCTCCAGTCTTTCAAGCCCACTGAACTTGCTAAATTGGCACTTGAGAACTCTGAAGCGTTGCAACGATGTTAAACCCTCAAGGCCTTGAATATCAAAATGTTGTCCCTCGAGAGTTAGCTCCGACAATTTCTCCAAGTTGGAAAGGTCAACAACATCATGAAGATTGCAATTTTCAACTGTAAGTTTCCTCAAACTAGAGGGAAGCTATTCGATGTGGCGCGGGTTCTCACAGATTTTGAGTCGTGGATTCTCTGGTCTTTCAAGTCCACTGAACTTGCTTGACCGGCAATGGCGCACTCTCAAGCATTGTAACGATGTTAAACCTTCAAGGCATTGAATATCAAAACGCTGCCCCTTGAAAGTTAGCTCCAACAATTTCTCCAAGTTGGAAAGGTCAACAACTTCAAGAAGATAACAATTTTCAACTGTAAGTTTGCTCAAACTAGAGGGAAGTTGTCCAATGTGACGCAAGTTCTTGCAATTCGAGTTCTTTTAGACAACAAAGGCAATCCAAATAGGAGCTTATACCGGTGATACTAGGAAGTTTCAACTTACAACATGAGCTGTACGTGCTCACGTTTGTATAACTGGAGGCTGTTATAAAAGATAATTTCAGATTTCTTAAACTCACAAGGTTGGAGATTTCTGGAGCTTTTCCTGCAACTCTTGAGGACAGACATAGACTTTCCAAACTCTAGGGAAGCTCTGGTACATTCTCCACACAAATTCCTGTTAATTTCAAAATCTTCAAGGAATGTAGTCTCCCGATATCTCCAAGAATCATCTCTAGCTTATTGCAATCCTCTCCATAAATCTCTTCAAGTTTCTCCAACTCCCCAATTGCCTCGGGTAACCTGTTCATGCCACTTCTATTCATCTTCAACACTTTCAAGCTCTTTAGATTGACAATGGTATCTAGAAACTTTGTAATGCATGTATATGAGACATTCAACTCAACTAAAGATTTCGGGCTTCCAATCGAGTGGGGAAGTGTCGTTAGCTCAGACTCTCCACATTCAAGTGAAATGACCAAGCGCTCAAGATTATGAGTGCTCCAATGGAAGTTGGGACTTCTCTAATGCTTATGCCATATCCAAAGTCGTCATCGGCGATTTTATCCATGAGTAGCTCAGTCAAAGCTTGCAAAGAATCTAATTTAATAGGCAACGTTTGGAGATGAAAACATCTATTTAGATTCAAGTGCTTCATATGACCGATAGATTTATCAATACTTACCAAATTCCTACAATCCTCTAGAATTAAAACTTCTAAGGATAAATATGCGGAGAGGTCAGGAATTGTGTCTAACCCATGGCAATATGACAGATTAAGCACATTCAATCTCGTAGCCACCTGTCAAATGATTATGTATGTTCAACGAGTTTGATTTACAAAATTTTTACAAGATATAAACAAATATATCGACTAGGGAAACATTCCACAATAGTAACTTTATAAGTATTTTGTGTATATCCATTGGTAGCGGTCCCGCTATTTTATTAACAACCATATATAATTTGACATCCAAAAGTGATGACATATTGTTGGGTGTTTAGAAGAAATATCTTATTTTATTAAGGGCAGTAGCTTTTTAAGAATTATATCACTAGTTTCTCATAATAGGATTTTGTTAAAGAGCCATGTTTGTTAATAGAAACAAAAAATTAGTTTAACATATGTTTATTATAAAGAACTTTTTTTACCTTCAATGGATTATGGTCTATCATTAGTGTAAAGAACTTTTTAAATATTCACTGTTGGAGGGGCAACATATTTAATTGGAGAATATATTATATATTTGCTGATTTTTTATACATCCTTTTTGGTACTTTTAAATTTTAAATTGAGGTAATTTCTTTTATTAGTATTGGAAATGTATAAATTCAACATGTTAAAATATGTTATATCGATTTTTGTGAACATATTATATTGTCAATTGATATTATCTACGCCAATCTCTACATACAAAATTTAAAATAAATCTACCCGGTTTACTCCATACGGGGTTGGTAACTTTACATATTCACAATATCTCATTCAAAACGAATAAATAGATATTCCTTATAATATGTTTGGTTATGTTCTTGGTTGCTTTGGGTTGGTGATTTAGAATTTATTTGTGAAATCACATATATTAAATCAATAATAACATGAAGGATCCCATATTTAATAAATATATATATTTATTAAATATGGGATCCTTCATGTTTCCCTTACCAAAAAAAAAAGAGACAATGCATTGAAGATAACAATATTTCTTCACTTGGACGTTTAATGAGGGCTCTTTAACAAAATCCTATTATGAGAAACTAGTAATATAATTCTTCAAAAGCTACCGCCCTTAATAAATTAAGATATTTCTTCTAAACACCCAACAATAGGTCAACACTTTTGAATGTCAAATTACATATGGTTGTTAATAGAATAGCGAGACCGCAACCAATAGATATACACAAAGTATTTATAAAGTTACTATTGTGGAATGTTTCCCTAATCGATATATTTGTTTATATCTTGTAAAAATTTTGTAAATCAAACTCGTTGAACATACATAATCATTTGATAGGTGGCTACGAGATTGAAGGTGCTTAATCTGTCATATTGCTATGGGTTAGACACAACTCCTGAACTCTCCGCATATTTATCCTCAGAAATTTTAATTCTAGAGAATTGTAGGAATTTGATAAGCATTGATAAATGCATCGGTCATCTAAAACATATGAAGCACTTGAATTTAAATAGATGTTTTCATCTCCAAACGTTGCCTATTAAATTAGATTCTTTGCAAGCTTTGACTGAGCTACTCATGAATAAAATCGCCGATGACGACTTTGGATATGGCATAAGCATTAGAGAAGTCTCAACTTCCATTAGAGCACTCATAAATCTTGAGCGCTTGGTCATATGTGGAGAGTCTGAGCTAACGACACTTTCCCATTCGATTGGAAACCTGAAATCTTTAGTTGAGTTGAATTTCTCATTTACAGGTATTACAAAGTTTCCAGATACCATTGTCAATCTAAAGAGCTTGAAAGTGTTGAAGATGAACAGAAGTGGCATGAAAAAGTTACCCGAGGCAATTGGGGAGTTGGAGAAACTTGAAGAGATTTATGCAGAGGATTGCAATTAGCAAGAGATGATTCCTGGAGATATCGGGAGACTACCTTCCTTGAAGATTTTGAAATTAACAGGAATTCGTGTGGAGAATGTACCAGAGCTTCCCCAGAGTTTGGAAAGTCTATGTCTGTCCTCAAGAGCTGTAGGAAAAGCTCCAGAGATCTCCAACCTTGTGAGTCTAAGAAATCTGGAATTATCTTTTATAACAGCCTCAAGTTATACAAAAAATTAGTTTAACATATGTTTATTATATCTCTTTTGGTAGCTAAATTGTAGTTGCACCATGCTATAATTGTATTGTAAAGTACTGTATGACAATGTATATTTTAAAGCCGTAGCACATCAAAGCTGGGTGAGGCAGTTTTCTAAAAGCTTCTATAAGGTTCTATAGCTTTGAATTAGCTGCAATTGTGAGGTATTTTCCAAACACCTTATAAAGCCGCAACACACCTTTTTACGGTTGAAGTTATTGCTGGAAAGCTTTACCAAACAGTCTCAACAAGCTTCTACGGTAACTTCACATAAGTAGTATATTTATACATATTTATAATAAAAGAAGTGGGTACAGTGGAGTTTTGTGATTGAGTCACACGGTGGCAAATTTTTATTCCCTATTTCCCCAAACATGAGATGTTGTGCTTGTTTGAGTGTCTCGCATACAAATTTTTCTGGTCAGACACCGCAACTTTTTCAAAAATAAATTTCTATAGACCTGTTAAAAGTTGATTCTATCCAAGAACCAACATGCTCGGGTTGGTTCCCGTGGAAAAAATTTTGTGAGGCCCAGCCCGAATCCAATCTACTCGTGTTATGAAGCTTCACGTTCAGACTGCTCGAAAAACATTATTCAATGGGTCCATTCAAGTTTCGCTTCAAATCCAAAAGCCATAAACCTACCCCTTTGTAATTGGAAAAAACCTATGAATTAAATCAGATCTGAAAGTGGAAAAGGAAACAGATGACGGGAAAGAGCAATATCTGAAAGAGGATGAGGAAGTAGGGCACCAAAATAGATGAAAACGTTTACAATCTGCAAGTGTAGTCCTCCCACCAGCCGCAGAGAGACATTAGGAACACATAGATCTACTTATATGAGGTCGCCTCGCCATGATGATCGGTCTCGTGATTTTGCACAATTGATCATGGACTGTTTGAAGAGAGAGAGAGAGAGATAGAGAGCAGCCATACATGCTGCCGGGAAGATCGGCGGAGTATGGCACCATTAGAGCAAGCCAACGACCACTATTCTTCTACTCTCTCTCCTCCTTTTTGCCAATTAGAAGCAGAGAAGCTGCTTGCTTCATTCTATCCTTCTTTCGCATTTCTTTTTAAGTTTTTCCACAGTAGATATTAGTATATTACAGTGTGTAAAAGTGAAAAGTCTAAATAAAAAATTTGGCTATTCAAATTATATTCAGTATTCAAGCAGAAGAAACAGAGAGAAAATGGAAGATGGAGTTGATGAGTTAACATACCCGGTGTTTTTGGTGTCCCATCCCTTGATTTTAGTAACTTCCTTGAGCGCCTCCTCCCAGTCCTGCACGGTCTCATCCCCACGTTCTCTTTTATGCTGAGTCACTGCATCCCTATATGCTCCGGTTTCAAGCTTCACAACAGAAGGTTCCACGTCATAGAAAATGGGCATAACCTCCGGTCCGTGGGTTCTCCTACGCTTCATCATGTGTTCCAGCTCGCATAGGCACCTCCTACTGGAGGCATAGCCTGTCGAGAAGATGGGAATGCAGACTTTCGAGTCATCGATGGCCTGGTAAATCTCAGGGCCGATCTCGTCACCGACATCGATTCCCTTCTTGTCTATGCAAACATGGATACCCTCATCTAGCAGGGCATAATAGAGGGTATCCGTGATGTTCAAGCGAGTATCCAGTCCTCGAAAGCTCAAGAACACATCAAACAGAGGTCCCGATGTGTCATTGGTGGTGGATCCTGTTTCTGAACTAGTCCGTGTCATTGTAGCTGCGTCTACTGCCATCAAAGATTTCACAAAAGATTTTACAGACTTGGGTGGGATGATGAGCCCACCAGAGGCTCAACATTCAGAGTCAAGTCGAGTAGAAGTCGAAGCCTAAGTAAACTGAAAATATGGGGGCGTCTTTGGTCAGCCCTCATCAATTTATAGTGTCCGCACCTATAAACTTAAGGAACAACATAAAACACATGTACTTAATCAAACAAAAAAAAAAGGTGAGGCTCTGGAACTTTCAGAAGACAAACGCTGGTGCAAAACAAGGTCTAGAGGCCGGAGGGTGTGACCCAACAAGCATTGACGAGAAATTTTCTCATGAAGGAAAAAATAAAAAAACGTCGGAGTCCAGGAACACGAGCTGGTGATTGAGAGGAGGAAAGTATCTATGAACACTAGATAATAGAGTTAAACTATTGAACAAACTTAAATGAAAGCCCAGTCCTCTGACCTTCGGAATGAGCCTCGCCACCGCGATCTACAGACCAACCGGCAAGCTACTTCAGCAAGATCCGTAAACAAGATGAGTAAACAAAAATCTCTAAAGGGGCAAGTTATTCAAAACCTGAAGGGCCACCCGTCGAAGGAGGCAGCTTGGGTTGGACTCGTCTGGTTCGGATGCGATGGTAGAGGAGTCCAACCTAAAACAGAGCCAAAGCAACCCCACTTTTCAACAGGATAGGCCTTACATCCGTCTCTTCTCTCGCCCGGGAAGGTAGGGGATCTGGGAATCGGTCGGGATCGGGGGAGGGAGGATCTGGAAATCTAGGTCGGGAACGGTTTTGATCGGAGAAGAGGGAGGGAGGATCAGGAAATCTAGGTCGGGAAGGGTTTTGAGAACTCACCGACGACCCCCGATCCTCGCCAGCCGAGCGTCCTGGATGAGCGAGCTGAGCAGATCGGAGTTTCCGCGGCGAGAGCTGCCGGAGATCTGATCGGAGAAGAGGGAAGGAGGGAGAGAGAGAGAGAGAGAGTCAAGAGAGGAGAATGAAAAGGAAAGCCTAGAGACGATGGCTTCTTAAAAATTTAAAATCGATGGAGAAAGAGGAGTAATAAAAAGGATGGGAAGAAAATAAAAACGAAAATAGGTACTCAAAGTAAAAAATATATATGGCCAAATAAAGGAACTTTTACTATATCAAATGACATAATAAAATATGTCATATAAAATTTATCAAATTAATTTGATTTATTTATTTGTGAATTTGTATGATAATTTACCATGTATATATAAAAATTTACATTTAACACATAATGTATCTCAACGTATCAGAATTCTCTACTTTTTGAGAAATAATGTGTCGTGTATCGTGTCGTGTCGCGTGTCCGTGCTACATAGGTTGAGACTAGGATGATATCTACGAACACAAGATAATGAGCTAAACTGTTGAACAAACTTAAATGAAACCCGAAAGCTGAAAGAGTTGCAAACTCTAACCATCTCAAAACTAGTAAGAATTAACAACAAAAACACAAAAGCATACAAAATAAAAAAGAATTTAACTCTGAATAAGCAGCTATGTTTACGTGTAACGCGACGGATATATCGAATAAATTCGAATTGGAAGGAACAAAGCAAAAGTAAAATTCTTGTGCACGCAAGATAGATGACTCACCTGCAACTGCATGAGAAAGCCGCATTCAAAATGGGGTCATGATTATCGAAGTTCCATCGAGTTCAAAAGAGCAAAAGGAAAAAATTGCAGGTCGCAAAACAGAAAGAGCAAAGAGAGAACTTTAAGAATCTGAGGACTGTCTGCCGTGCGCAGATTCTTAGGGCCGCGCATGCAAGAACCATTCTCGTCTTCGAGAACGTATTCCTGTCGAAAATAATTCTTTTTGATTCGTGCTGGAATTGATTCCCGAACATTTGAAGGCGTTTGGTAAAGGCCCAAAATTTCTATTCCTGAAATAGTAGAAGAACATAAATGTGTTTGGTAACGGCATAAAATTTCTTTTTATTAATAATAATTTAATAACATTTTAAATATTTTAATATTTCTTTCTTTTCTTTTTTTCTTCTCCTCCTTCTTGGACATGGCCGGTAAAATATTTTTTAATTAATAATACTTTTATTAAAAATAATTTTTTTATTTTTTTTTGCCATGGCCGGTAAAAAAATTTCTTATAAATAATTTTTTTATTAATAATTTTTTTAAAAATATTTTACTTCGCCATGCCCTGGTCGCTGGCCATGGCAGGTAAAATATTTTTTTATAAATATATTTTTATTAATAATATTTTAATAAAAAATATTTTTATTGAAATTATTTTTTTTATTTTTTTTTGCCATGGCCTGGTTGTTGGCCATCGCCGGTAAAATATTTTTTTATAAATATTTTTTTTATTAATAATGTTTTAATAAAAAATATTTTTATTGAAAATATTTTTTTTTTATTTTTTCGCCATGGCCTGGTCGCTGGCCATGGCCGGTAAAATTTTTTTTATTAATAATATTATTTTTATTTTTTTCGCCATAGCCTGGTCGCTGGCCATGGTCGGTAAATTTTTTTTATTAATAATATTATGGCCTAGTCGCTGGCCATGGCCGGTAAAATTTTTTTATTAATAATATTTTTTTATTAAAATATTTTAATCTCGCCAGATACGGTGAGGGTGGCCCTCGCACCGGACATTAGAAGCTATATTAAAAATCAAGAAAAAGAAGAAGGAAAAAAAAACTGATTCTCATTTTAGTTCCCAGAATCAAGAAGCTACTTTTTTTTATTCTTGATTCTGCTCCAAAACTGATTCTGGGCACAAATTTTGCAAGAATTTGTGCCCAGAATCAAAAAATTAAACAAACGGATTTCTATTCCCAAATTGATTCTGGGAATAAAAGAACATAATCAAATACTATTTGGCAAGTTGCCATGCGCAGCCTTAGTATATGATGTCTGGAGTCATACGAGAGGATGACCCACACATGTGAGATAGTAGTTGAGTGTGAAAGACTTAACTGACCAGTAAGCACGTGCCACGTGCTCGATGGGAAGTTTGCAATGATTGACACGCTCAAGGAAAAAGGAAGGGAAGAAGATAAAAAAGAAAAAGCGAAAAAACTATTAAAATATTTATAAACAAATGTTTACGTCCGCGCCGACCGCGTCACATAGGATGATCAATATCCATGTCAGCGCCAACTAGCCAAAATTGGTCGGATGGATTGAATTGGCACAAACGCAAAAGGTTTATGACTTAATTGGCAAAACAAAAAAGTTTAGAACTGAATTGGCATAATTGCAATAAATTTAGGAATTTTTTGGTAATTCTCTCCTAATTAAGTGTTCAGAAGCTCATTTATATTTGTGGCAAAGGTCGGGACATTTAAGATGGTTTGTATTATCGATTGCGTAACATCCATTTTCTGTGAGGACGGACCTACATGGCAATGGTCGGGGGCAATTGCCCCCACAAATATATATTACGTCATTTTTTTAATTACGTTTAAAAAATGCCCCCACTGTCGCGACCTCCCTAAACCGGCCCCGCCGCCTAAGGGGTTAGGCTAATGGATTACTAAGTTAAACCTAGCTCGAGCTCTCCCAAGCTCATACCAATTCACGACTTAAGTTAAAGTTATTAACATGGAAATCAATTTCACCTAGGAGTCGCCACTAATCAGTTTTTGGTGGGTCGATTAGACACCCAAGCAAAGCAGGGGAGAAATGCTTTACTTCTACGAACCAGAGATTCAATGGGTACGGGGACTTGATTACACTAATTGACTAACTAGTGCCCTTTCGGTACCTAATCTTGCTCAATTCACCACCTAACGTGTTCACACTAACTGGGAGTTTAAAAAATTCATTCCTAACCAAGCTAAGGGAAGCAACAATCACTACATGAACCTAACATGCATAATCAACCACATGCGAGTTTAAATTAAACATGCAATTCAAAGCGTGTGAATCAAGCGAGGAGCAATCAAACATACGCTAATCACACAAAAAGGGAGAGAAAAGCAATTCTGAAACCCAATTTCCAATTTTTGGATTTTTGAAATTTTTCTATTTTTTTTTAATTTTCGTTTTTTATTTAAAAAAATAATAATTCCCTAAATCGGCCTATGCTCGGTTTACGTGAACATGAAACAACTCAGAATATGAATATTACGAGAACCGGGCTCAAATCAACCGTTTCAAGATCGAAACTTGGTTTGGGCATTTCGTCGAGCATTTGGTGTGCATTAAAATGCCCCAAATGGCTTCCTCGAGCCATATTCGTGGCCTTCAATCTTACTCCGTGTGTAATATCAAGTGGAACCAAAGTATCAAGGTTATATTATCACATGCAAAGAACAAGATTAGCTAGAAATCACAACCTAAAACGCACGAGAACCAAGTTGGAATCGGCCTCCAATATGTGGGTTCGGGCTGCTTTTGCAAATTTGGGTTTAAACCCAGGTCAAGCAAACCTGTTGCATGCCCAGGTTTAAGCCCCGACACTTATCACGTGCAAGATCTATGGGAAACATCACTTCATCTGAGAGAATATACGTAACATCTACTTTTAAATGAAACAAACATCATGGAGAATGATCAAGCGAACACGTCGAAACAACCCCCCCAAGAAGCATACATGCATGGTTCATAATGACTAGCCATGAATCAATGTGGGTTAGCTTGGCTTTTGACTCAAGTTGCAAGCGATCTCATGATTCACACGGGGCTTCAAAGACCAAACCAAGTGGATCTCAGCCTAATTTGTACACCCATATAACATTCATCAAGCTCACGAAGGTAGAAAACGCATGCAAAGAGGAGTAGCAAGTCAAACATTTAGGGCTCATGAAGGAGCTCTAACACTTAGAAAAATTCCAGCCTCAGAAATTAGTTCTCTGGGCTGGTTTTCTCTTGATTTTTTCATAACTAAAACATATTCAAAATTGAACAAAAATACATGTAGGATACTCACCTTGCTTCCTAGTTTCTCTTTGAAGTATCCCTTGGCCGAGGGAACCGAAAACCTGTCTTCCAAGGGCGCGGGGAACTAGGCTTCTTCAAACTGGAAAATGAGATCTGCCAAGAAGGAACTGACAACGAAGGTTTTTGTTGGTCTCCAAAACCAGAATCAACGACCTCCTTTTCTGACTAATTTGACACTAACCCAAACTAGATGTATTCTAGTTTAATTTTCAAGTCACAGGTATCCTCATATATTCCTCATGTCTCTCAAAAACTCCCACTTTCCCTCACCAGTAACCGTCTGACTTCAACACTTCGAAGATTTCTGGGTTTCTCTCTTGACCCGAGAATGGGCTGCTTTTCGAGGGGATTTTGGGTGGCTTCCCGACATCCATTTGGGGCGTGAGACATATTTTTGGAAAGCTCTTTGAATGTAGTTCCACTCTCTAGTTGAAGGTTTTGGCTAATTTTGGCTCGAAGTTCACGAAAATCTCACTTTCCTCTCCAAAAGTCAGTCTGGAACTTTTCTGGGTTTATGTTTTTTTTGAGTTGCATCTGAGGGTGAGTTTTTGGAACCACCGTGAACTCTCTTCCTCTTCTCTCATCCCTTTATTTTTATCCCCCAAAAGAACGTGCTTCAGAGATCCTATCCATCAAATCCAACCCGATTTTTAGCCCGTGATTGCCCATTTACCAAGCCTGCAAACTGAGTCTCTTCACCAACTTTCTGACTCCAAAATCATCATAATTTGCAGCTGTTGAGTGAGCAGGTTTGACTGAGATTATCACGTGTTTTCAGC